AAAGTTTTAAATAGTATATAATCATAGTTTTTATTTAAAAAAAAAATTATTAAATATTTTTATTTTTAAAAAAAATATATTAAACATGAATTTATAAAATTTAAGCAGGCAAATTTGCCTGCTTATTTGGATAGTTTAAGGGATAATTAGATTAGTTCTTAATAATAAATTTAGATTTTTGTATAAATCAAAAGATCAAAATTATTATTAAAAGCTAGTTTATTGGCTATTTCAGATTAGACAATTAAATCTAAATAGAAATCTTTAAGAAAAGGTTTTAAAAAGTTTATTATTTGAATTGTTGATTAAGTAAATAGAAAAAGGCAATTTGTTATTAAAACTGAGAAATGTCAAAGCTAATTGAGAGATTGATTTAGGTTTGTATTAAAGAAGTTACTGTTAGGGAATTGGTAAGTAATAAGCTGATAGTGAAAAAATCGATATTGAGATTATATATGCTAATGAAATTATTTTGGGTTTCGGAGTACAAAATTAAAATTTGAAGACAAAATTGTTTTTGACCTATTTTACTTAAAAGATAAAATTTTTTGATACTTTTTTTTGAAGAGACGAAATTATAAGGAATATAACTACCTAAATTAGATTTGCTCTTGTATATTAAAAATTCTAAATTATTCTAATAAAGACAAAATAAGGTTTTTTTAAAAACCTATTTCGGTGGCATGTATAATTGAGATATATTTGATTAAAACATATTGTAAAATAATAGATAAAATTTAATGAATAAATAATATAAATTTTTTCTAGCTAAGATAGTGAATTTTGAAGTATTTAGCTTGAAGTTTATTAAATATATATAATTTGATATAGAGAATAAGTTTGCTTAAAACACTAAGAAAGATTGTTTTAATTAGTTTTTAAGTTATAATATAGTTTTTGTTAAGTATATTTAAAAATAAATTTTAATTGTATAAAATATTTTGTTGGTTTTCTTAATAGGTCTAAAAGATATCAATTTAAAATTTAGATATTGTATATATGCTAATCTTAAGATCAAGTTTACTTAGAGTATCAAATAAGATTTATTTAATAAAGTATAAAAATATAATTAATTTTAGTTAAATACTTTTTAGATATAAGAGAAGAAGTTTATTAAAAATTAGTTTATTTTTAAGGATAGAGTATAGATTTCTTTATTTTATTAATGATTATATCGGTAATAATAATCATCAAAAAATAATTTACAATATGCATAATTGTACTACAGAGCTACTAAATCGAATATTCTAGAATATCTATTATATAAGTGGTTAATTAATTTTTTATTCAATACTTCTATTTTTGTGTTTTAACTATTTCTTTAGCACTGTCCACAAGCCTTTCAATAACTAAAGTGCATGACATGTATTTTGTTTTATGTAGTCTTGATAATATAATGTCTTGCAAAACTAAGCCTCTTCTAATCAAGTCTTGAAGCACAAATTCTGCAAGTTCAATAGTACTTAATAGCTTTAGTTTTTTCAATTTTTTAATATCTTGTTGATTATAAAATTTCTCTAGCTGTTGATATCCAAATTTTTTTATTTTAGCTATATTTGATCTTTTAAATACACCTATAATATCAGCAAGTATGATTTAGTGATCATATGTTGTAGTTAAAACTTCTATAATATATAATAATTCTTCAATATTGGATATTACATCCCTGATAATTGGGTTATCTTTTATATAATAATTACAATTATCATATTTAGTATATTTATTAGGCTCTTTGTCTTCACTCCAAGTATAATATTTTATAAGTGTTTTCATCTGACATTTATATTTTATAGCACAAAAAAAAAGCATCTTAAATATATTCTTTTTTTTTGAAAGATATACTTGATCAGCTGTTTCAGGGTGTAAAAGATCTTTTGGCATGCTAGAATAGTTTTGAATTATTTTAGTCTATTAATATTTAATCATATTTACAATACTCAAATCTATCTCTCACGATTTTTAGTAATTCTTTCATAATTTGTTTTTATATCTCAATCAGTGTAAAATATTATATCTTGTGCATTATGGTAGTCATGACCTGC